GCACTGAAGATCAGTTTCAGACGTCTGCAAACAGCAACCTTCTCGTCTCGACATCTCCTACACCGGTACCTCCTTTCTCATCCGGGCTTGGGACCGGCCATGGCGGAGTTTTAATTTGTTATATAGTACTTCTTTACTTACCTACTTGACATTTACCTGTTTGCTTACTTAACTGATTAATTAATTACTTACTTATTAACTCAGTTACTTGATTCCTGCTCTCTTACGAACCTGTCTACTTATGTACATACAGGACAATTAAAGCTCTCTAATTCCTTCATTGTCATTTCCTATCAGTGCCTCATTTTAAAATTCATGACTGCTTTTTCAAATACGATAGGGGCTAAGAGAATCTAACATCACTGTCCCTTTTAGCGTTGTTCTAGTTTTTCACACCCTGACATTTTGTTTGGTAACGTTTGTAAAACGATGCTCGGAATCAGGTATTCAGTCTTTTCATTCCTGTTTGTCGTAGAATTTGACTTGGAGCATTCACTACTCTACTTAAAGATAGCAGTGTTGTTCCTAGCGGACTAGTGTTTTATTTTACAGTTGTGCACAATTTTTACTCTGCATTTATCTGCTGCTTACTAGTGCATCGTAAGGTACGAGGTTTCGGTTGCTCTACCAACCTCCTACCATGAAAAAAACTCATGAGACACGAGCTGAAACGTGGTTGTTCATACATTTGATTACCATATTATTCGACTATTTATATTACTCTTCTTTAAATTTTAGTAGATTTTTATTGTGTGAAACCATTCATTTTCTAACATGTAAGTGTTGAATTTTTTTATGAATGTTAAATTACTGTTTCTTGTAAATGTTCTTTTGTTAAAGCAGGGAGATGGTAGAATCGAAGTAAAAGCTTTCTCCCTTCAAATAAAAGTCAGTCCGCGGTTCTAAAGGCGAGACCATGGTACTTTCTGTCTGTTCAGTTTAACAGACAGAAAATGCTATGCTTATTGCCTGTATGTGTCGCTTTGCTTTCCATCACATTGTACGTTTGGTGTAGTCGTACTTATGTAACTTCATAACAGTCTATAACTCGCGTCTCCATTCAGAATGTTGGTTGCTTTCTGTGGCTAGGAAGTAATTCAGTTCAGTATATGTATCGCTTTTTTCATTAAGAGCCAGAATCTGTTTTTCTTCACGTATGCTGTTAGTTCTTGCAGTGACTTCTACCTTCTGTGCTCAAAAACTCGATGAAAACATTGTGACTTGATGAAACAACTGAACCGTGGGATAAATACAACGATGATCCGTTGATGATTCCTTTCGGGTTTGCTCTCAGGATATTTCTTGCCGTTGCGTGTTATTTCTTTTTTTTGCCGTAAAAACTGTCTGTGCGACGGACGCCAAGGTTGTGCGCCTTGTGCAGTTTTGTACACACGACTGTTGCCAAAAAAATCTGGATTCTTCTGCTTCGCAGTCCATTTCAATTTTGAGCTGTTTATTCGTCAGAATTTTGTCATCATTAGCGTCTGCGAAGTGGTGTGGATTGAGGCTCTGTGCACGTAATTCATGGCCGATTTTATAGCGGGAAGTCAAGGTTTCCAAAACAACCTCATCTGATTTCTCTTCTGATTCATTCTTCGTCCTAGGCCCTTGGTTCTAAAATTTCGCCGTATCACGTCATTGTTTAATGATTTTTGCTTCATTGATTCATTGGGGTGTATTTACAGAGCTTGCCGAACTTTAATTTCGATACGACGGCCAGCGACAAAAGCGAAAACACGTTCAAAAACCGCTATAACGACATCAAGGCCTTCGATGTGACACGGGTGAAACTCAAGGAATCAGAAAATCTGTCTGGCTCTGATTATATAAATGCAAATTTTGTTCAGGTCGGTGTACCTTACCTGTTTTAGTGTAGTTGAATTGATGTTCAGGGATATAAAGGACGCAAAGTCTTTATTGCTGCTCAAGGTCCTACTCAAGATACGGTTAATGACTTTTGGCAGATGATCTGGGAGCAGAACGTTTCTTTGCTCATCATGGTGACCAATCTGCAGGAGCGATACAGGGTAAATTGTGCACTTTATTTCATTATTATTTGTTATTGCTTTTAATTCTGAACTTCCAAAAAATAATGCCCCTGCATCGTGTCGGACAGTTATTTTCGCATTACGCTTAAAACTTGTTCTTTTCTGTCCATATGTATAAGATATTTTGTTCTATAGTTTATGTATTGGACTGTTTACGGTCAGGACGTGTTTATGTTTAGCGTATGATTCGAGATTCTAGTTAATATGAGCAAAATCGCTTAAACAACTCTATCGTATTTCCTTAAATATTCCTTACGAGGAAGGTTCGTGTTTTTTCATGCAGTTACAACCAAGGCTCAACCATACCTCATTCATTAATAAGCACTGCTGCCTTAAGGACCTCAATTCCGTACGTCAAAAGCCAGGTAGCAGAAAAGCCAGGTCACACTTCTGAATATTTCGCCCATTTTTTATTAAAATATATTCCATAGATAGTAACAAATGTTGGTTACAAAACCACTCAGAATGATAGAGCAGTGAGCTGATAAGGAAGAGATTATAGCAAGTTACAACCCATTTTAGTCACGAGAACATTTTCTTGTTTCATGTTTTCCTTGTAGAGAAATGTCCTGTTAAAAATGGGAGTTAGTCAAGTGTCAATAGGCTGTCTATTTTTGGTAGACAGATACTAACTATAAACCCAGAAAAACGAGAGGAAACTCACAAAGACTGGAGCGCCAACGCCTTTCTTTATTAATCCATTTTTTGAACAGAGAATGACAGCTCATGAGTCGACTAGACGAACAGATGTTTCGGATCATGACTAATGGCTAAGGTCACGAAATGGATGATAAATTTAATCCTTTTCTCTACTGAATAGTCAACATTAAAAAACGGATCTTGGTAATGTTGTCCAGCCTACTGCATGATGTTCATATGCTTCTGCTATATATCCTATTTTTTCCAGTAGGAAGTGATTCATCCTGTTTTCCAGAAATATTTGCCAGTGAGCATGCACTACTTATTTCCTGACGCTTTCAGACCATCTGCATCAAGTACTGGCCTGAGCACAGTGCAACGCGATACGGGTGCGTAGAAGTGAAGCCTCTCGAGTGCAGCTACTTCGCCGATTACGTTATTCGCAAGTTCCAGCTCGAATACGTGAACTACCCCACCGCCGACGTGAGTGATAGTTATTCCCGCCGTTACAGCATTTCCGTGTTACTGATCAGTCTATCGCACTGCAGGAGGAAGAAGCGGAGCGACCGCTAAAGCCACCTGAGCATCTGGTCGTACAGTACCACTACACAGGATGGCATGATTACCGTGCCCCCGAAGAAACGGCGGCGTTGCTGCGCTTCAAGAAGCAGCTGCGGAAGCTGAACGCGCTGCCAGGCGGTTTTGGTGGTCAGTCGTCGCCAATCGTTGTCCACTGCAGCGCCGGAGTCGGTCGAACCGGAACTTTCATCGCCATTGATAGCATGATGGATCAGATGAGCGAGGAAGGCACCGTCGACATCTTTGGTTTTGTTTCGAATATGCGTCGCCAGCGTAACTTCATGGTTCAATGCCTGGTACGAAATTTTGCTTAACATTGATGAATGTGTTGTTATTATTTTCCCAACTCGCTGTTACATCTGTACAGAGGCTATAGATTATCTGGTGCATCTATATTTTTCTTGACTATTTAATCATGAACTTTTATCTGACATAAACTTCCGCAAAACCAGCCTTGCTCAGTACAACGTCAAACTGTTGTCTTGACGGTAGGAAGTTTTACAGATCTGTGATAACAAATAATACAGATTCAATTAGAGGGAATAGGAGTCGCTGTCTGTACCTTCGTCCTGGAACGGAACATAATAAATTTTGCGCCCCTTTTCTCTAACGTTCTCGAAATGACACATAACAAATTGATGACGATCAGCGCCAGTGCTGATGCTTCAAATCGTACTCGCTTCCTTAAGGTCACTAATGGACAGACACGTTGCAGTATGAATCGTTACGAAAATGGCCTAGTCAAATGTCACCCCGGTATTAAGGTCAGCGGTTAGTTACCGAAGATACATCTTAAAATAATATTCTGTCGCTTATACAGGTTCACAAAGGAGTTGCATTGTCTGGCTCCTAGTAACCTGAATCACTAATTAATCAGGTTGCGGTTCCATGGTATTTTAGCATCTGCACATTGACGCAAAACGGTACTACTTTGTTGGGTTGAACAAATATATATTCAAAACGGATATAACGGATATATTATATAACCCTAATATTATGTCTTTAGTGTTTCGATCTTGACGTTGACAATATTCTACTATTGTCTAGTATCGAAATCTGACTCTTGCTAATGTCGTTACCGCTGTTACCGCAGTTGTTAGTATGCACTGTAGATTCACTCTCATGAAGTTGTTTCCTCGAGAGAAAGACCAGACGGAATTATATTAAAGAAGCTCAGTTCCTCTAAGTTATCAATTTCATACACCGATATTATTGCGTCGTTCTCACCAACATCGGTTAGTATGAACACCCTTGCCCTTTTACATTCTTTGACAACTTTGTGTGTCATTCACTGTATACTTCTACGAGTGTTTTGGCCAATGAAGGAAGAAACGACATTTCGTAGTCGTTACATCAGCCTTGTTACACTTAAATGATGGATGCCATTTATGGCAACCTTAGTTTATGGAGCTTTTGATGCCGCACCTGTTTCCGTTTTTCTGCTATCCATCACAGTTGTCTTTTTCTATAAGACATTGCCTACAGCTCTGTTGCAGTCTCAGCGATCGTTTTCTGTTTCAGTCGTGCGAAGTGGTGGCCTCACTCATAAGGATTGCGATCGAATGATTCGATCAGGAATCGAGCTCTTGATAGTCTTTCGACTAGAAGACTTAGCTGCGTTAGTAGGAGTCCAGTTTGACTACAAAAATTTACTTATATGTATTTAACAAGACCAAGGCTGGATTAATCCATCTCTTATCAAATTTCTTCCTTAAGGTTCCTTGTCTTGTATTCTACGTTTGTTATTTCATGGGTACCTTTGATCTTAAGGAACAGTACGTGTTCATCTACAAGGCATTGGCAGAGTGGTATCTGTTCGGTGATACAGACGTTGAAATCGAAAAGATCGACGAGCACGTGAAGAAACTTCGCAACGTCGATTGCGAACCCAATCTGATGAGCGAGGAATTCAATGTAGGTCGTTTAGTGTAAAAAATAAATTTTATCTGTCACATTTGTTGTCTTCATCTAGAAACTGTCGCTGATGCTGGAAGACAACCGAGGGTGCGAGTTCGCGCGCAAGGAACACAACGTGTCGAAAAATCGGTTCTCTGACCTAATTCCATATGACCGTTTCCGAATCATCCTCTCCCCTGTGTTCGGCTTTGACGATGCGTCGTATATCAACGCGTCTCCTGTTAGGGTACGTGTTCATACGCTGAGTCTTGTTTCTACCACATTCCTGTTCGCTCGTTTCGTTTCAGGGCTATTTTAACACCTTTATTTTAACCCAAGATCCGCTGGCTGAAACATTGTGGGACTTCTGGCGCATGATCTCTGAGCAAGGCGCGGGATCGATCGTCATGCTGTCTGAGGAAAGTTCGCTTAGCGAAAATGAGCGGGTAATGTTTTTGCACTGAGACAAATGTGATACGAAATGTCGTGTTTGACCATGAAATTTAAATCTGGCCTCGTTAAGTACATGGATACTGCCTTGTTGTTTTTACGAGCTCATCGTGCTTGTGATCATTACGCATTGATCATGGTTTATTGAATTTAAATAGTCTTGTCTGAATTGTTTGAGTAATCTTCTGAAGCCAGTGCCATGACGAGTTTGTGAAATTTTTTCTGCGTGATTAAGAGTATTGTAGAATAGTCTACTTACTTATCAGACGTCTGCAGGCCAGAGTAGTTTAACAGACGCATTACTGTTACAAGTTTGGTTTCATTGCGTACGTCACAGGGTGTGAGTTATGCGCTTATTTTCCTAGTTAAGTTATTATATTATCCAGTGTAGACTGGGGGTTACTCAGTCGGTAAAGCGTCACTCTCACAACCGGAAGCTCTCGGGTTCGAAGTTCTTTCAGGGTCACTCGCCTTTCTTCTTTCGATGTTGATGAACGAGTGCTGCTCTGTGGGAAACACAACACATTTGTCATTTTTACTGTTGTCGAATCTCTTAAAATAAGGCCTTCCTGCCGGATGACATGGAAATAGAGATCAGTGTCCCACCTGTGACTTTAGGAAAAGAAATGCGGCAGAAAAGTTACATACTGAAAATTTAGGGGAGACTGACCTTTGAACGGTTATGAATATTCCTTTTTGTGCTTAGGATGCAAAACTGCATCTTTGGTTTGGGCTGAACAAAAGAGTATCTGAGCACCAACCAAATCTGTCACTATCGTGGACAAATTCGTTGTGAATGGTTGAAATTTATTATTT